GGCTTTACCTGATGATGAGGGTGGTGGAGAGGGGGAATGAAGGAGAGGGATGGCGATTGAGAGATGAGGAGGGAGTGATGATGTAGTTGTCTCTCTCGATTCCGGTCTCTTGAATGTAGGCTGGTATGATTACGCTATGGGGTTAATTTGATCATATATTGTGCAAATGTAAGACGTTCATGTTCTCGTTTCAACGTGGATACCAATCTGCCGTTTGTAGTTGCCTTATAACCCCTAATGCGTGCTTGATCGGAATGTTGAAGCATACGTTGTCTAGCTACTATTGTAGTTCCTGTCCCCGTAGTAGATCTCTCTGTTCCATACCTTTTGTCAAACGCATTGCTATTAGATACCTTGACGTAGACAGGCTGTGTTTTCCCCCCGGGATTATACGTCAACCGCGGGATATGTACCAGAGTCCAGTACCTGCGTCGTGCGATTCCAAACACAATGTAAGAGTAAACGCTGCTCGTCGCCGTCTGGCTCACGTCTTCTTTAGATCTAGGGAGAAGATGTTTGGATAAACAGGTTAGTAGCTAATAAGAACAAGATGTTAGTTCTAGTTCGCATTATTAGATATCCTTCCGCCTAGCGAATACACATGCCATTCACAATCTCAAACACAAGGCAAAACGCTACGACGTTGCCCGGCAGTCTAGCTTCTATCTCATCCACGTACGTGAAGTGCGTAGCTATACCTCTGAATGGTAGTTACGCTACAGCCGGACGGATACATGTGCGATACCATCGTCACGTGCATGCGTAACACGACGATGTTACCGTCGGGCTTATGTACAGACAGGTGCGGTGGAGTTACGCGTGGCGGATACGGTTGTCTGATTTCGCGAGGTTCATGCACGAAGCGCAACAAGGTCGCTGTCTAGCGAGTGTATGTGTGGATCTGGTGAGTTGTGGCGGAGCGGATACGGGGGATGATTCTGTATAGTATGTATACTAGATACTGTGATGTTGTCATGTAGCTTATGTGTGAATGTATCTAGTAAGGTGTACTGTGGCGGATACGTTGTATAATTCCACGTCGTATGAAGACTAAACACCGTAACATCGTCGTCGTCTAGCTCATGTGTCAATGTATCCAGTAAGGCGTACCGTGGCGGATACATCGTATCAATCCTCTCAATATACCCACTAAACGCCGCAACGTCACCGCCTGGCTTACATCCTACCCACACATCCACACTACACCCTGATAGCTACATACACATCAACATCTTCACAATTACATCAAACACAGCAACGTAGCCGCCAGACTCATATATTATCTACTACCAAACCCCCATATCCCATCACTGCATAGGGCAGAACCCCAAGCAAGTAGTAACGAGAGCCTCCGAACAGCTACATTCAGTATCCACATCACATAGATAACAACAGCCGTCAGGGTCGCAGCCTACATACCATCTCTTTGCATTCGGATCACGTGCACGCGCCGGTACGTGAGGAACCACCAGATTAGCCGGGCGCTGGGACGACAATGGTGGTAAACGAGTGATCTGGTGCGCCGCCGGTACGGGCTGTGCTGTGCGATTCGAAGGAGTTGGTGGTGCTGTTGGCGCTAGCGAAGGTGAAGGTGAAGCTACTTCCTCAGTTTCCCCCAACTCTTGACTCCCAGAACGACGCAAACTTTCTGCATACAGACGACTACCATCCTCGTTCATGAGCTCGGTGAACCTCGAATCACCGGACTTGCGGCTTTCAGTGCGATCTGGAGGTGCGAGCGATGAGGCTGAGGACTCATGAAGGCTCCTGGGACGCTCATTCGGATCGAGAAGTGTATGGGATGAGCCATTGTGGGCGCCTAGCTGGTCTTCTGAGTCAGCTCCACCACGCATGAACAGCATGTCGTCTCGAGAGGGCTCTGTTTGGACGTAGTGAGAGTATTGAGGAGCGATGCCTCTATGGCTGAAATACGCTCGTGCAGTTTCTGATGCCGGCAGGCGACCTGGTGTGACTATCCATGCGCGACTTTGACCGTCTCGGGTTCTCGCTATTGTAGACAGCGTGGGGTTTCGTGGGGGAAGGCCATCTCCAAAGTGAAGGTCGTCGGACTCGCTCTCGGAACAGCTGCAGATGTCATAATCGATTGAGCCTGACTGGCTTATCGGGCCTTCGATTTCAACAACTTCAGCATATCTCCGCTGGTCCCTCAATATTACAGCCGACGCTGAAGATAGAAGGCGAAGCTGCTGCAGTGTTGACCTGAGTCGTGAAACCACGGGGGGAACAACTGCAGCCGCAGGCGAATGTTCAACGAGCGTTGTTTGACCACTGTTCAATTGCGACGGGCTGACATATGCTCCTGGTAGATGCGATGAGTTGACACGTGTTCCCGGGGTATGCGGGGCGGCTGACGATGAGAGAGCTTCGACGACAGTTGCTGGACCACTTTCGACTTGCGATGAATTGTCTAAGGATGCTACGAAGTGTGGGGTTGCGGAGAAGCCAGGCGGAGACGTTGCTGCATGTGTTGCTGACAGCTAATCAGTAATCGAGCTGAGAGGCGACATTGAGCTGAGAGGCGACGGATGGTATGCGGTATTGTAGGCCCTGTTGTACTGCACATCCTTCCAGTCTGGCAGTGCCGCAAATTCCGCATCAGACATAAAGGCGGGATGCGAGCCAGGCCGCTTGTTGTGAGTGTATTCGATCGGACGCTTCAGCCACAGGCTTGCCACATGCTGTCTCCGATGGCGCTCCTGTAATCGAGTCACCCAGCTTTGCGCTTCTTCCTGCTCTTGCTCTTCTTGCTCTTCCTACGAGCCGACCTCGTCAGCCCAGCTGCGTCCCTTCTCCATGGGCGATGGCAGGCCGAAATCGTCTGTGTCTTTCACCTTCTCCTTCACCTTCTCCTCTGCAGGTGCCTTGCCCTTCGGAGAGGGTAGTTCTGGGAAGTCTGATGCCGAGGGCGGGACGTTGTCGCGCTTCTCCCGAGTGTTCGCCGGCCTCTCATCGGATCCTCGGTAGTCGCCACGGCCGCCCCTGCTGCCACGGCCTCTACCTCTGCCTCGTCCGCGGCTAGACTGTCCGACAGGCTCATGGTAATCTTCGCCTCCGTTGTATCCGTTGTCAACCGGTCTCGAGGGTGCGATGCCACCATGCGCGCCACGTGCAGCGCCTCGTCGCTTCTCGTCTCCGGTGCCAGAGAAGCCATCTTCTTTCTCAAAGTCCCACTCCCTGCCCCCTTGAGCGTTGAGCTTGCGCTGGCGGTTCTTCTCGCGTTCGCCCATCATCTGTTGGCGACTCTGGCGCTCTGCCTTCTGCTTCTCCGCGAGAGCCTTCTTTCGCTCTATATCCTGCTTCTGCATGACTGCTTCACGTGCCTCGAAGTTGCCCTTGTCGGCCTCGGCGCGAGCATGGGCGCTCTGACGGGCTTCATTCTTAATGCGCATGTTGGCCAGCTTCGTGTTGAGCTCCTCTTCTGTCAGGCGCGTGCGTGCAGGGCCGCCAGTCAGGCCTCTGTCTCCGCGGACGGCGTGTGTGGTCTTCTCCTTGGGCTCGGTGGGTGCAGAAGGCGGGGCTGAGTTGTCTGCGACATCGGTAGTGGCAGCCGCGGTCGGCGCAGCTTCCTTCGGAGCCTCAGGTGCCTTCTTGCCGTTTTCTTCTAGTCGAATGTCGGTGTTGTGCCCACCGCGGCCTCGTCCACGACCCCTTCCTCGACCACGGCCGCGACCTCCTCTATCGGCGTTTCTTGGCTCACGAGGCGCATGGGGTGCGAGGTGCGCCTGCGGTGCGGTCGGCGGTTGTACTTCCTCGGGAACGAACTCGGGGGCGGAAGCTTGCAGCTCGATGGGGTTCTGCTCGACGACTGGCTCGGCGATAGGTGTGATGTCGTCATCGAAGAACAGGTCGTCTGTACTTGCTGTTTGAGCGAATGGATCTATTGACGGGTCGTCGAAAGCGGGGTCGTAGGACGTGCTGTCGACCTGGTGGGGGTCAGTCGTTTATATGAAGCATGTGACTACTCTCCTATACGGGGGAGAGGTCAGGGGCAAGGAGTGTATAAGTCGACATACCTGTGCTGGCGCTGGTTCTGGTTGAGCGACGGTGACCTCGGGCGCTCCTGACTGCTCCGCCTCGTCAGGCTGGGTAGCCCATTTTGATTTGAGCATGTTGACTAGAAACGAGTAGTGCTAGAAATAGTATCTAGAACGAAGTATGGGGTTGGAGCGATATGAGTTAGCGATGTGAGGAGTCTTGGGTCGTTGCGGCTGGCCGAATTACTTGCAGGAACCCTGGCACCCAAGTCCGTGCGGCAACAGCTCCCCGCACCTGCAGTCTAGACCCGATGAGTCCTTCCAGCCCCACGTCCATGGTTCAGTAGCACCAACTCCGAAGCGTACTCGCTGCTTCCTACATCCTCATACACGGCAGTATTGAATAGGTGTCTTGCAGCCTACACTAAGCCCACGAACAGCAACATGCTAGATACGAACGCAATGTAGACGTCAGGCATTAATATTATACTAATCTCGTACCGACAGAATAGACCGCAATATGAAGATACTCAGCTCCGAATAACAGATTCCAGCAACCCACGAACGCCATCGCTAGTCATACAAGGGAGACATGAGACGATCCAACCGCTAAAGATACAAACACTTGATAAGAAAGAAGCAGGAAAGCACAGGAGCCACTGCGATTCTCCGCATAAGCTCGGAAGAGAAGCTCGACCCTATCAACCAACATCCGCCATATCCTACTTGGTAGTTTCTGTACGAGGCTACATGCGAACAGCGTGACGACTCAACTCTTGAGATGTATTCCAGCCACCCCGATCAAGGAAAAGTTCCGAACACCATGAAGCCTACATCAAGATAGAAAGATGCAGAGTAGATGACCCAACGTCAATGTATGCTCCAGACCTGTTCGATTTCCACCAGCCCATAGACGCCGTTGCTAAGTCGTAGAAATGATATACAAGGCTATCCAGCCAGTAATATTACAGACGCATTGATAGATAACGAAAATCCGCACAACAGCTACTCGGGTTCTCCGCATGAACCAGGAAGGGCTTCAGAGACTCGAACGACAGAAGCAATGTACGGGTACACCGGGACACCGGATCCGTAAGCATACCCATCTTGCAGGCCATCCCAGGGCAGGCTCTCCTGCGCGGGCCAAACCTGTCCTCCCTCCGACGAAGGCGGCTTGGAATCGAAGGTCAGAGGCGCGATTTCCTCCCCAGGCTCAAGCGGCGAAGCCTCGCGGCTCTGCTGCCGCGAAGAACCCGGTGAGAGTTCCGGTGGATCCGTTGGTTGGTCTTCAAGCCAGCCAAGTACCTTTTGGCTCACGGTTTCCGTGAGCGGGTTGCCGACGTTGTCGAAATCCTGGCCGTGGAAGGTGTACTTTACGATACCGGGGTCTGCGAACGAGGGTGCGTGGGAAGGGCGTTTGGGGGCGGCGAGACGCATTTCAGCTTCGATGGACGCTAGGGTGCGAGACGGAATTGGCGGCTTTGTGGATGCAGCACCGGGGATGGGGGATTTGTAACCCGTGGAGATGGGAGCGCTGATCTTGGAGATGCCTTCAGCCTTGACTTTTGCGAACAATTTGTCGAGAGCTGATGGCATCGTCAAATCGGCTTCAGTCAGCCCAGTCTTTATCGGCGTGATCTCAAAGCCATTGTCGTCAAAACACTTGCGGACTGGCTTGCTAATCAAGGCCAACGCCCCCTCCAAATCATACGCCGGCTCATCCCAATGGAACTCGGCGTCAACAGGAACCCTGTACTTGCAGCGAATCAGCCTCTGGCGCGGCGTCTCCATATTCTCGTACAGCGCTGCTTCTAGAGCCTTGCGCAGGGCGGCAACACCATATGCCTTTTCAAACGCTTTTGCGTTTTCGGTAAGCCATCCCGGTGCGAGGTCTTCCTTTGTGAGGGTGATTTTGGCCGGTGGGGTTTGGGCGACTACGATCTTTCCGAAGAGGAATGCTGGGGCGGTGGGGTTGAGCATGCTTGCTTGGGTAGTGGTGTGTTTTGGAGGGGAAGGAGCAGTCTTGAGTAGGCTGACTTGTGCAGAGTTGAGTGTTGGAGGAGAGGGAGCGGTCTTGGGATAAGATATAGTTTTGGGCTCTTGCTCGAGTTTGGTTGGGGTGCTGCCGACCTTGGTTGCAGCGTTGTTCTTGGAGCCAGTAGGGGCGTCTTCGAATACAACGACGGGCAAATGTGTGCAGAGGTGCGGTTGCGGCGTGGCGGTCTTGATACCGGTGGTAGTGTGAGTCCCAGTAGAAGCCTCGACATTGGTGACGGCCTTCTCTTGAGTGGCCAACTCGTCGAGAGAGAGATCGGACGACTCCACGGTAACCTGCGCAGAAGCCTTTACCATGGGCGCCGATACTGCATTTCCAATAACGTCTTCCTGCACGGGAGCAGTCTTATGGATAACGATGGTAGCGACCGGCGCATACGAAACCTTATTCGCGGTAATCTTCTCGGCGGCGGCGGTGCGCTTCGCCAGCGCCTTCTCTTTCTGCGCCTTCTTGTGGTTCTTCAGGCCCTTGTTCTTCTTGCACGCGACGTCGCCGGCAGCGTCCTTGGCAGGAGCCATATTTGCGGTTCGCAGTGAGAGTGCGACTAAGTACTGTCAGGGGTGCTTCACACCACCGGCGTAAGTTCTGACTTACATATATTAATGACAATAGTATAAGCAATAGTATGTTACAGCGTTCAAGACCAGAGCGATAACTTCGGTTCAAGAAGAGCGGATACGCGCAATAAAGCGGGCGATTATACAGGGGAGTAGAGCGAATGTGATGAGCCTTGTCCAGTAGTTTCGGACTGCGGGCGATGGTGTTGCGCGGGTAAGATAACTTGGGGTGGAGCGCTCGCAGGTTGAGCGTACGCTGGACGCGGTAAGGTATCGACTACTACGAGTGCCGCGCGCTGTATTAGACACTAGTACCGTGAGCGTGGAAGTGATGTAATAGTGTGAACAATGGCGTCCGTGCGTTGAGACAAAGTAAGAGTGAAAGGAATGACAGTGTGACTGAACATGCATTGTTTGACAATCACATTGTTCAGCACGTCTCGGTCATCACGCGGAGTTGGCAAAGGTTAGAAGCGTGGAAGGAGAAACATGACATCATGCGACATATGTGTTATTGGGGATCTGTAGGATGGCTAGAGCGCTGCGAGATTAAGCGCACCAGTCTATCCCACAAGGATTCTCAAAGTCGAAACGACCTTGACAACACATACTACTGATCTGACCCTAGCGAAGACCTTCCATCTATAATCCGAACTTTCGAAGACGCAGAACGTTTTCCGCTACTTCACTAGGTTGCTCTATATATGCGTCAGTCCGTGCGCCGGGCGAGCCCGGTGGGGTGAGGTACCTTGCACCGCTCTTGGTAAGCAGGTATCTCGAAGATGAGAGCACATGAGCTATAGGAATAGTTGATCTCTGCTTGATTGCCGTACTGTTTAAGAAAGTCAGCAGAGGTTTAAGTGCGTGTGCGTAAGATTACTCACCGCAAGGAAGCCAAACTGCAGATTAGTTGTAGTAGCACGATTCAACCATCGTATCTGGCGCCGATTATGGGGATATTTGGCGTAGATTTTACTCCAACTGTCATCCTCGCAGCCACCAATGCTTGACATGACGGGGGCTGAGAGCTTCTTGCCGATACGCGCGAATTGCAGGTGCTTTTGGTCGTCATCTTCATCGGTATGCTTCTCCGACCTGTCCTTTCGTTTGTCTTCTTCATTATCCGATGTCAAAAGTACGGGTCGAACGCGCGTCTTGATGCCCAGCGAGCGGAATACCTCATATGCCATGAAATCTGAGCCTTTGAGTAGGGCAGGTAGAGCCTTCGAACCCTCCTTGGTGGCGTGGGCATATGCATGATCGCAGTACTTTCCGAGATAACCGCCTGGAATGATGTCAGTGATGTTCCAAGAGTAATGTAGGTTATCACGAACCCTGAGTCATGAAGTCCGGGCTGTCCAAAACGTTCATAACCTCACGATAGAGTGGCAGCTGCTTGACGTCGAGCGCATTGGCGTGTCCTGCAAGCTCGCCAAGACCTCGGCGCACGAAGAGGTTGTATGTAAGGGTTATGCGATGACCCGCAGTGACTTCGAGGACCTCATGCTCACAGTCGCTGTAGAAAGCTGCCCACTGTGCAACGTTGGCGTCGCCAGACCAATCGAACGTAGTGGTATGGCCTTTGTGGCGGACAACGAGCTGGCCTCCTTCGTGAGCGCACGGCAGACAGACGACGAGTGAGCCGAATTGCATCTCGGAACGTGGCGTATCGACGTGTGGCTTGAACAGACCTGACGGTGCTCCGTATACCTGAGTTGACTGTCAGCATGTCTCGATCATTGGAATGGGAGGAAGCGATAAGGCGCGCACATTCAACTTGTAGAGCTCTGCTCGAACACCCTGTGACTGATCCGGAGACAGTGGAAGTAACGCTTGCGCAACAACATCGATGATGCCGGTCTCATAGGGACAGAAGTTGGTGGAGAAGGCAGAGGTGTCGAGCTTGGAGGCCTTGCGATACGACTCGTCGATGATGTCCTTGCCCTTGTATCCGAATCCAGCAGGCTCAGTGCCTTCGAGGAGCTTCGTAAGTGAACCATCCACTTCACCCTTACTGCCGACTTGGAGAGGTAGGATTAATTTTTCGATGGCGCTTGAAGAGTCCCAGCGGATGGTGATCGCCGAGCTAGGGCGGATGTTGCCGTCATCCGGGCTGCTGAGAGAGCCGCCGCACGCGTACGTGGAATGTGTAAGTATATCCTGGAGAGCCTTAACGATAGGCTCAATCGGATTGTTATCAGCCGCCTGAGCGTCGTCACGGTCGTTGCTAGCCATATCTGCAGTCTGTGTACGTAGAGTTTGTGAGTAAAAGGCAAGAGCGCGTTTTATATGCAAAAGTCGAAAGAGCTTGAAGATGACACGTTATCACGTGTACTCGCGAGTAGTCCAACTTGATTGGGGGGAGGGTTGCCTATTACTAGGCAAGAACGCCCTTGTGTTCCCTGTAATCTTCGTCCTATGGTAATGCGGTGACGCTACGAGGACGAGCGACTCACAACTTCCGAAATTCATATGTACCCATTTAATTAGGTCCTCTCGAAAAGAGAACTATGGTCAACACAAGAGCTTGTGTTCCCTGTACCACCTACCCTGTGCGTTGCGCGTGGGAGCGAGACGAAGGAAGTCAACACAAACATATCATTCGACGCAGCAGAAGCAGCTCAAGGCAGCAGTGCGACCTTTCTTTGTCATATGATAACTTGATGTAACGGTCGCAGGTTTGCTGTACTTCCAATGGCCATCGGGGTGAAGCTTGCGCTCTTGTCAGTAAAGTAGCCGGGTATGATAGCGTCTGTCTTCGAATTTATCGCTGAAAGCTAGGATCGACCAGGCTTGATCCGTTTCGAATGGAAGTGAAGAAGGCAGCCGCTTCTGATCGATAGGGTATTTGCGTCCCCGTGTTAAAGGACAGATGATACCAAATTATGTGATGTGAAGTGCAGACGTGAGCATGAGTACGTGTGAATGCCTCGAGATTACATGGCACAGGAAGATTTGGAGGCGTTTACGACAAGGTAGTCTGTAGGGAAACATCGTGCGGGTACGGGAACAATCTCCTGATAGGTACGGTGAACTTCTCTGCCGTGCGATTGTCACGGAATGTGTGTTAGATGGGGCCGGATCGCCAGCGCTGAGCCGTCTCAGAGCATGAAGATGAATTAAGAAGCAGTCGCTACGAAGACAGGTGGACGTGCGAGGAAGATTGTAGACCGCGATGGTTGTGGGTGGGCGTTGGAGTGTTGTGATGACGCGCGCTTACCTTGGAAGGTACGCGCCGACAAGCCCGAGCCTTTCGGACGCTAAACTTCATTGCGACAGGATCGCGCTTACTAAGTATCGCGAACACTTTCTACGCTCTATGCATACCTTCATCTTATTGACTCACCCCGCTGTGTCGACCTTCCGAAATGCCGGATATAACAGCCAACGATGGTATTCATCTGCACTACGAGACATATGGCTCTCCCGGTGCCGCTCCCTTGATCTTGGTGAGCTCCCCGCCATCGAGCGCGTACCGCCACCAGGCCTGACATTGGTCGCTAGCTGCACGGCTTCACGGGTTCAGGCGCAGTCTTCAAGCGCAACGTTGCCGCACTCGCAAAAGCTCATCATGTCATCATTCCCGATTTGCGCGGCCACGGCGACTCCGGTAAACCAAAAGCCGGTTATAACGTGGCACGCCTAGCAATGGATCTCAAGAACTTGATCGAGTTTTTCGGTTTCCGCGACGGTACCATCAAAGCCATAGGCACGAGCCTAGGTGCTGCTATCCTATGGAGCTACAGCGAATTGTTCACGACTGGCGCATTCTCGCACATGGTTTTCGTGGACCAAGCTCCACTGCAGAATTATCTTGAGGATTGGGGTTCTGAGTTCGGCAATCTAGGATGCAATAATCTAGAAGCGCTGAACGCGATGCAAAAGACGCTGATTGCGAACCCGAAGGAGGCGCACCTTGGTACTATCGCAGCGTGCTTGGGCTACAGATCTCATCCGCGACCCCGAGACCCTCAGTCGGACTCGGCACAGTGGGAAGATGACGAAGCGTTCTTCTTGGCTGAGGCTCTAAAAGGCGATGGATGGTGGTATGGGAAGCTAATGGCTGACCATACAGCGAACGACTGGCGACATCCTATCGCTCATGCTTTCGGCCCAGAGAGCGGTAGTGAAACGAAGGTACTGGTCGTAGCAAGTAGCCGAAGTGGCTGTTTTCCGGCTGCGGGACCACTCAAGGTGGTGGAGCTGGTCAACGGAGGCGAAAAGGAGGGACTCGCGAAGGGAGTGACGGTAGACTGGGGTGGCCATTGGTGTTATTGGGAGAAGCCGGAGATGTTCAATGCGCTTGTCATTGACTTCTTCTCGTGAGCGCAATGTATGCCGTATTGACTTGATGTTGCTGCAACAGAATAGTTCGTATTATTAGTCAACTCAACGTTCATACCTATAGATCCTGCTTCACAGCAAAAGGAACGAGAGGGGTAAAGCATCCACGCAACGAATTCTTCCGCGGGCGCGTCAAGCCCTGCGGAGCGCCGCTAATGATTGGCATATGGGCAAAAAGGCTGGCGAAAACATACCACAGTGGAGATTCTCAAGCAGTCATCCACAGAGCTACTTCTAAACCGCCGGCATCCTGCTTGTATATGGCTGAGCGGCCATAAAAGACCACTATGTGGGGTTCCCCAGGCTAAAGATGCGGCTCCCGGAGGCTCTGGGGCTAGCGCATCTGGGTTGTGGCTCGTAGCGAGCAGGTCTGCCTCGAGACGAGCATGACTCGCCTCGATCCCCGCAACACTGTCACGTATATATGTTCAGCTGGCTGCATCTTCATCGCATTATCATCGCGCACTTTTTTCTCGTGCCAGCAATATACCCTCTGCTTCTTCTTCGCATTGCATAGCTCTCCATCCGAGATCGTGAGCCCCAGAATCGAAGTCCTGATCACCACAAACCTGATCCAAGAGTTTTGAAGAGCAAACCACCAAAAATGTCGAACAACATCCTCATCACCGGCGGCGCCGGCTTTTTGGGCCCTATGCTCGCCGCCAAGTTGGCAAAAGATTCCTCAAACAACATCGTCCTGACCGACCTGCGCACACCCCAACGGCCAGCCGGCATCTCAGAGTCGGCAACCAACCTAGAGCTCACAGCTGGAGACCTGACCTCGCAATCAGACATCGACAAACTCCTTTCCATGCGCCCACAATGGTCAGCAATCTTCCTCTTCCACGGCATTATGTCCGTCGGCTGCGAAGAGAACCCCGCGCTTTCCACCAAAGTCAACCTAGACGCCACGCTTTCCGTTCTTACATCCATCTCAAAACTACAACAAGCGACTAAACCCCGCATTGTCTACGCTTCTACCCAGGCTGTTTACGGACCGCCTTACACGGCAACAGGACCGATCACAGATGATACGCCCGCGACGCCAATAGGCGTTTACGGCACGCACAAGGCCATCATGGAGAAGCATATCGATGACCTTAATCGCCGTGGCCTAATCGACGCCTTCTCCGTGCGCCTACCCACCGTCGTTGTCCGCCCAGGTGCGCCTTCGCGATCAGCAGCAGCATTCCTAAGCGGCCTACTCCGCGAACCGCTAGCCGGGCTAGAATGCGTCGTCCCCATCAGCGACCGTTCAGCACGCCAGATGATCTGCTCACCACGCGTCATGATCGAGAACTTTGTGCGCGTCATGAAGGCGCCTTCGGATGCTATGCCCTCGCACATCCGCGCGGTGTACATGCCAGGAATTAGTGTCACGCTTGGAGATATGTATGCGGCGTTCGAGGCGGTGGTTGGAAAGGAGAAGCTGAGTTTGTTGCGGGAGGAGGTGGATGAGGAAGCGAAGAGGCTGCTGGATAGCTGGCCGCAGACTGCGGAGTTTGGTAATGCAACGAGGATGGGGTTGTTGTTTGACGAGAGTTGCGAGCAGATATATAGGGAGTATGCTGATAGTCTTAAGGCATAGGCTTTCAAGTAAGAACATATCACGAGTTTCAACGTCCAAATTCACAATAATCTTCGCATGTCGCAAGGATACTGTTCGCTTACTCATGCAACAGTCTCAAAGTAGAGGTCCTCCTCAATCTTTTCCACGTCCAAATACCCCAACCTCTCCATATCTACCTCCCACCTCTTCATCTTTTCTTCTCGCGTCCCAGCCAACAAATCCCCTTTCTTTCCGTACTGCCACCGTCTAAAGCCCGAAGGCCCACCAACTTGAGCCTTATACGTACGATCAGCCTTAAGCCCTTCCATACTGCGAACATATTCTTTCTCGTTGCCGAGTTCTTCCAAAGTACACTCGAACCGCCACGGTCTATTCGCTGAGATCTCGACATAGTCACCATCGTCCGGAAATACCGGATGGGGATCGTAATCGTAGCAGACGAAGACGGCACCCCATTCAACTTTCTCCCCGGTATCGTTGTCTCGGCAATCAATCAGTTGGTCGATGCAGTGCAGGTTTGCTCCGGTGCATAGTGTGGTGACTGAAAGTGGAGAGCGTGATTTATCGAACACGAAGGGCTCGTCGCTGTCGGTTGTGTATTCGATGATGAGGGTGAAGGGATCTGGACCGTTGAGGTAAGCTTTGCTGGGCATCTCCAGTCTGGCGAAAAGTTTGGGAGGCGCCGGGTCGTCGTGGACGGTGAAGTAGTATGTGCCCCCTCCCTCACGATGAACGGGCAGCTTCTGCGCTGATGGAGAGACCTCAGCTCCGCCTTCCAATCCATCGGTATAACACGCGAACACTTCGCCAGCTTTCTCAGCCAGCCGTAAACCGTACGTACGCCCGGGCTGCAAGACCTCTCTCCACAAAACATGTGTTGTTTCTGTCAACACACTAATCGATACTTCCCGATACTGTGGGAATGACGTTGAGAGTATGTTGTACTGGCCTTTCTTAGGTGACGTGAAAGATGGCAGCACGATAACACCTGCATCTTCCTTGCCAGATTGCACGAGTTCGAAAAGTCCAGATCGTAATGCCTGTAGGACAGTGTTTCGCCCCCTACCAACAACGGTGAGACCATTGCAAAATAGAGTAATCGGGCGCTCTGTCTCTGAAGTTGTAATTATGAGGTGGCCGAGGTCACGACGTTGTTTGCGGTTCAACTGGAATTTGTCGTTTGTGTCTAGCTCCTCCGCCTCAAAGCGGAGGGATAGGCCGTTGCTAGGTGTGTCTATACTTGTCATGATGAGCGCGCGCTTCGTGATGTGTGCAATGCAGGCCTGATCGATAATCGAGAGACAAACGTGTAACGATAACGAGAGTGATCATGAGGCTGACAACGAACTCCAAAAGATTTCTGACTAGAAGAAAATAATCGTGAATGCGGTGACGGTTGTTAAGGCTGTGCCGCATCCATGTTCTCATAATGATGTGACGTCATGTCAGAACTAGAGCCAGAAAGGACGGCCATCGATAAATGACTAATATGACCTGCCTCCACGGCATGAATGCCTACAAGAGCTGGAGATTAATGTTCTGATATATCTTCGAATATGCAACAGACTTTTTTTCACGGCGCGCTCATGCATACCGACACCCTCACATCCTCATTCGCCATTAATACTAAGGAGACCGTGACTATGTTCAGTCGGGATGGCAGAACTTCCCAATCTGAGCCAATATTTGTATCTAGCTAGATATGGGTACTGCGGTACCTCGACCGTCACAAGTGATGCAAACGCGTTTTGAATAGCGAGCCTGCGTATGATGAGACATTTCCGTTCGATCCCGTTTTCTGGCCTGTCGCGTATTATGTTGAATGACAGCGGGGGGGATGCTCGATTGTCCAAGATTCTCTATCCCAGAGGGACTGTAAAACCTCGATTCAAGGTGGGGCCGCGACTGTGCTCGGCATTTTCTCTGGTCTATTTCCCGTTTCAGCGCTTGTTCGATATCATCAACGCTGTTACCAGACAGTACGGCCTGAATGGTCTTCATCCATGACATGATTCGTAAGATTGTACTGATATGAGGATCAGCCCCGTACTGCAGAGACATGAGAATTATATCATGAGCAGTCTGGTGGTCGCGTAGACCTTGACTTATGCCGTGATCTATAGCGCAAAGAAGGGCTTTCCACACTGTGAGGCCGCTGCACGTCGTCATGTTCGGATCCAGCCCGTGTTCGAGAAAGATTCGGTACTGTGTGGTTCGCGTAGAGAGTGGAGCCAAGGTTATGCTGTGGCGTATCTCTTGACACACAACCTGGAGCCAACCATGGCGGATTGTATCCTTGTATATCATGGAAATGTCAGCGCCGGCTCGGAGGAACTCATGCAATAGTTCGTGCCGGATATTCAAAGAGGTCCCAGATATATGGTGAGAGGTCTGAGTTAGAATCTGCAGAAGGCTTTTTGTATTTGGATCCAATCCGTGTCTGAGGAGGCACTTGAAATATCTTAGAGCGTCTCGCAGGCTGCCTTCCGATTTGGAATCCATGCGATCCAGCATCTCGATCCAGTACTCAGTCGCCATGTTCACGTCGACGCCCGTTTCAAGGAACAATTCAATGACGGCCCAGCATTGCTCTTTGTGTTCCCCTTCTAATAGCATTGCTGCCTCGTCTACTAGAGTCATCCAGCTAGATGTACCATCTACAACGGCATTCGGGTCGGCACCCTGTTCAAACAGTGCTTTCACCAATGATGGTAATGGGGCATATCCAATGGCGCTCGGGGATGATGTGGCTGAAGAGACGTTGCCCGGAGTAGAAGTGCGATACTGTATAAACGCGACTGGTAGACAGGACTCGTATGTTTCGGCTGGATCGACTGGGCATGAAACTGCATGAGTTAGGATACGATTGAGATCCAATTCAGCACCGTCCCTGTCCATTCGATACTTCAAGTACTCTGTGTGCCCGATTGAAGCCGCGAATCGAAGGATGTAACAATTCAATCCGCATCTCGAGTGGAGCGGCCTCATGCGCTCATTTCCTAGCTCTGATTGGTTGATAACCTCATAGCAATGAGCTACATTGCCTGTCTCAAAAGCGCCCTTACTAGCCAATTCTATGGCCAGTCTGAAAGCTGACGGCGAGGGACGAGTTTCGATGAATTTCGATTCGGCGATCAGAGCGTGGCTTATGTTGGTGAAGACATTGAAGTTTTCGGGGGCCCAGGACTGAAGTTTGTCTCTCATACTTTTGCCAGCAAGGAAATCACTCAGAGTACGGTGCATAAAGTCGACTCGAGTATGAGCATTGATGACGCCCGTAGGAACAGCCTCCAAAAGACCCCGGAACCGCCCGGTAAGCCGCCTTTCGGTTTGGACGGCACGGTTCTGTATGTCGAAATCTTGCCATATCTTGCTGGGAATATTGAACCCGAAGGTAGGATTTCCTCGTTCCAGGAAGTAATGATGTATCAGCTTCAATTGGGAAGGGCTTCCCATAGCAGCGAGAAATGTACCGGCCATCCGACTTCGATATACTTCCTCGACTGAACATATTATTTGCTCGAAGAAGTGTTCCAGATCTGACGGTATTACTCGCAAGCGCTCTTGTAATATGGAAATTGGGTCATCGTTATCGATGCCGCTGCGGAGAGATTTGACCACCAAGCGGACCCAGAGGAAGACCCCTTGTGCACGGAGTGAAATATTCTGTATGAGATGCTCAAAGAGAGTCGGCTCATGTCTCATATGCGGACCATGAGATAGCAGGTTTTCCCGTGCGAACAATTCGATGTCGTGTCTTGTGAGATCTTGTACCAGAATAGATTTGGCGTTTTTGAAGGAATCTTCGAAAGGAAGCCACGGTCTACTGGAAAGACATAACTTGACGTTCGGAGCAGTGGAAAGGTTCTTTAATGTCTCAATCACTTCCCAACTGTCCCCATAATACTCGTCGAGGCCGTCTACATGGAAATAGAACTTGGTGATGACAGTATTTTGTGCTCGAAACAGGGCAAACGATCGTCGCAGCTCGGAAAGGGTCCATAACCTTGGCGCAGTGCTGCCATGAGACTGATACTGGGGTTGAGATTCAGCATTCCATCTTTCAGGGCAGAGTTCTGGAGCCAGCTCAGGGCATGCATGGAGTATGTGGTAAAGAAGTGTCTGGAGAAGTCCTTCCAGGGACTTCTGCATCTGTTGACCCGGTTTCCAAAAGTAGAAGCATGCTCTGACCAACGGAGCATTTCCAGACCATATGCGAAGATTTCGGATCGTCTCGTCGTTGTCGTACAGGTACTTCATCAAGGTTGACTTCCCAGAACCTGGTCTATTGTTCAGCAATCAGCTTGCTACACTGATAGCCACTACGACTTACCCGGCTTTCCCGTAATCCAGTATATTCCATTGTCACACTGAAGCCATTGCGCGAACCCTGTATCGACCCGTGGGCCAGATGCGTCATAGGCATATCCACTGTACATCCAGGCAAAGGTCTTTTGATGCGCATCTTTGATGGCGCTCTGTCGAATATGCATGCTTTCGTAGCGGAGACTTGCGATGATCATGTGAGATTGAGACACCTGATGAACCTTCGAAGAGAACCGAGAAAAGTCATCATGGAGTCTCTTCCAGAAGGCATTACCCTGAAGATCTGAGATGCGCCTCTGAGCAGCTTGAAGCTGATCATCCAGTCTCTGGATCTGTGCAGTGAACTTGTAGCTTGCCTGCATGTTCTGGTTTGTCCAGTCTCGTAACAGGGTCATGAGCTGGATTTGGTTGTCACTAGATGTTTAGTTGGTAAACATGCAAATGTAATGCTGCCAAGTGACCTTACTGTGTGCCAGAGACTAGGTGCATCGTTACCTGGTCTCTGAGCAGTTTCAACCGTGCCTTTAGTTCTTCGATGTGCGCTTTTCCCCACAGACCCTTCAAAGCTGTCCGAAAGCTCAGCCATCTCTTCGCAACTTTCCCAGAACTCGACACATGCTGTCTGTGCTGAAGTTCGGCAATTGCGTCTAGGAGTTCCCTGGCGACGAGATCGCAGCGGCGCGCAACGTCATCGAGTTGCGTAACTGAGCTGGTTGAATTGATTTTACTAGTGTAATGCCTTATGTCCTGGGATACGATGTTGAGGTCGACATGCTCGTTCAATACGCCCGATGCGGACTGGTGCAACTCCTTAGTTTTCGACAAGAGGGCGAAGCTGAAGGAAATGAATTGAATGATATTGCCGGCAAGACCAATTGCAGCAAGACTTTCCGCCATTCTAGTCCTAACTTTTCCGAATTGAATTATGAAACTGTGGCCGAGCGAGACACGGCCAACCTTGATCTTGTAGACTGAAGCGGTGCAGCGGCTAAGTAGTCCTTTGCTCCGCCATCATCAGGCTGAGGGCTGTGCTGATCTGTGGCGGCCCATGATTCGATGGACAACCACAGTGGTGGGACGTCATGCTGCGCGCAGTTCGATAAAGCAGAGAGATGGTTGCATGTAGCGTCATTCCGGTGAAATGTGGCGGATTTGGTGGGTGACGATTGGAAGTCAGGAGCTGTGGTGCTTGGCGATGGCCAGGTGCGCCTGCCACCCCAACGGCGAGGCACATTGCGAAAAGTAAGAACAAGACGGCACGTTCTCTGAGCCGGCGACACGCCCAGATTGAGTAGTTCATTATGTGCGCACGGCATCAAGCCATGGCCTAGACAAACAGTATACGAGACAGTCCATGCGATAAGCCAGTCTCATGTTCCCGTCGATGCGAATGTTTCTTCTTCCTATACTCTCCCCCTCAACCACTCGCCCGCCCGCTTAGCCATATTCCCAGCCTCCTGATTAAACCCTAGGAGATGGCCCAGCAGAAGGATGTCATGTGGTACATTCTCTTCAATATCCAACTGAAGATCATTACCCGCCTCCTTCATCTTCTCCGCCCACTCCACGATATCAAAGTATAGCACCTCTCCGCTGCCCGTGTTCACAAACATGGGCACCTCAGTCTTGAACGTCCGGTTCTTCTGCGACACATAAGGCTGCGACAGCACCTTGTCCCCACCCTCGCCCGCATACGCGGTTGTGCCCCACGCCGTGAAAGGTGGGGAGATGTAGTCTGTAGCGTAGTTGCGGTTGTCATGGACGTAGGAGCCGGAGGTATCGGCGGGGTTAGTCCACGGTGACCAGAGGAGCGCGGAGGAGGGGGCGGGTAGACCGAGTTCGGAGCCGTAGTCGGTGATGTAGCGGAGGAGCGCGATGGCGAGGTTGCCGCCTGCTGAGTCTCCAGAGAGGACAATGTTCTTCGGGGAGATATTGAGCTCGTTCAGCAGGTATAGGTATGATGTCAGGCTGTCTTGGAGGGCGGCGGGGAACGGGTTCGACGTCTTCGAGACGGGCAGGGTGGAGAGACGGTATTGCGGGCAGAATACGTGCGTGGCTGGTGTGTGTTTGAGGAGTTTCTTGGCCATTGGGCCACTGGCTGCTGTTCTTCCATCTCCTGGATAGAGTTAGCTTTCGAGGATCTCAACCATGGTAGAAGCTGTTTGCTTACCAGTGACGAAAGCTCCGCCGTGTATGTGAAGAACGACCTTGGTGTTCTTATCACTGCCCGTAGTCAATGGCGCAGGAAACCACGTCGCCCCGATTTCCACAGGCACAACATCCTTATTGCTTCTCAATGGCCCCTTGTATGCATCGTTCTTCGCCGGCTTGATGACTACGAAGCGCTCCTTCTCTTGCTCCGGTGTCAGGGGTAGCGGCGTAGGAACCTGCACCTTTGACACGTGCCATAGACCAGAGAAGAAGGCATGCACGGTGATAGCCTGTCGAAGAGTCCAGCTAGGATGCTGGCGACCGAGAACGAGGAACTTGATGAGGATGATAGGGAAGCGCACGAGCTCGAAGCCCAGGGCGCCCAGCCCATAGACGGCCTTTACGGGGTGTTGCGTGAGGTCCACCATTGCGCTCGTGGCAGCGTCGACAGAGATGAAGAGAGCTCCATTGCGGGACTAGGAACTTATAACGCGATGACGATGGTGTGCCGCTTGCCTGTGATTGTTGAGGGGCGGCTGGCTCTGAGGATCTGAGCCGAGGTCCTTGGCGCTGCTAGCTCACGATCTCCATAACTACCCCACATCTGCACCTCGACTTTTCCAACACTTTCCCCTATCGACTTAGGACAATCGCATCTTGGTACGCACCGCGTTCGGTCCGGCGACCTCGCAACCTGTTCTCGAGCACGCAACAACAATCCGATGTCACAGAGCTTACGTTCAGGCGACTTACGCGTCCCGGACGACTCTCCGGCGTGCTGGTCTAACTTCATACTCCCAGATCGCTTATAGACAGGCACACATGCTGGGGCACCCTGACGCTTGTCAGGCAGGAATCTAGAAGAGTTACCTCACCTCACTCACATGTACTGCGGTGACATCAATACGATCGATAAAACGCTGCTTTCCAGCCGACACGCAGTATCAGGCAATTGTCGACACTCTACTAGGTTGCTACGAGAAAGAGCTTGGGTCACGCTACGTCACGTTGCAGGTTCACTCGGGCAAGTCGCTCTTGTATTTTTTTCTTGATTGGGTATCTCAATCTCCTCTTTTCCTTTCCAACATCAGTAAGCCTTTCTTAGGCTCAATCCTTACCACCATCAGCCCATTGCTGTTACGTGAGGGACTCGTCTCTTTCATCTCAAGAGAAGCGCACCATTGACGGGTATCATGAACGCCTGCTCAAAATCGTGGCATTCACACTACCGAAGCCAAGTCAACAGGTAAGAATGCTAGTCGAACCAGACTCGCTTCTGGACCTATGGGTTATAACGGCGTTCTTTCTTCGGCACCGGAGGCATGTAAACTTCATCGGTGTCGTCCCGTTCGGGATTCTTTCCACGGGATTTCCTCACATAATACTTGATCAGCGCCAGTATATCCTCTCGCGTAGTGCAAGTGTCGCGACTGAGCTTTGTGTTCCGCCCTTGATCAATACGCTTCTGGATCCTTGCCTGTACTTCGTCCAGCTTCCCCTCGGTAAGCCCTGCTAGATCCAAAAGGAGGACCAGAAATTCCTCGCCCCATATCGTAATGTCAGCGGTGTGTTTATAGCTGAGGTTATTTGGAAGTGCTTGTTGCACGGAGCGTATGCCCCATAAACTGCAGATCTCGCTGATCACTTCGTCGATAACTGGTTCGGGGGTCGGAGACCGTGAACGTTGCGCGTCGGATGGGAGCTGCATGGTTGACGTCGATGGAGAGGGTCTTGGTTGCGGTTGCAATACCTTGCTTGGGCCGTAGAGAGTCGCCGGTTGGTGTAGAGAGACGTGATCGTATAGGAGCTCGCGGGATTATATGGTGTCGGGGAGAGACGTGTGACTGAACAAGGTCGCCATCCATCGGTATGAATGAGGAGTTACCACACAGAAGCTCACATCTCGACTTTCACCCGAATCAAAACGCCTGCGGTTTACCTCGCGCTCGCACTGGTGAAAGCGATAGCCTAGACGCATCGCGGGAATGGATGTCGTGCGATTTACGCTTTTCTGGAAGGAATTGGTATATACTGCGTACCCGATGCCATGCATTCGTCCCGGGTGATCAGTGTAGCAGTCGAAGGTCAATATATATGATATATTCAGGGTAAATCCTACAAGGGGCGAAGGCTGAGTTCTACACCCATCCGATTTGGTGGTGAGACGTCAGGTCGGACGATGTACATAAGTGAAAAAATTGTTTGATGTTTGTCTCTAAACAATGAATCATGAATGTTCCATCGATGTCCAATTTGGCTTGCTGTCAGGCGAGCTCTTTGCGCTCTTCACACCTTCAGTGCCAGGAGGCGTCGGAATCGAGTGGAAGCTGGAACAATCGACTGTGAATGCATACAGACAGATACAGCAATGTTTCGATTATTCGATCATTCTTGCCTCTTCATTGTGGGCAGATGACAGACCCGGAGGAGGAGGGAGAAATTTGCTTACTCAGCTCATTCTGCCAAGCCGAACACCGGCGTCTTTCCACTCAGAGCTCCCACCAACTTCAATCAAACCTTCGGGCTTCCATTCTACCACCGGCATCTCTCCACCGCCGAAGAAGGTACCCAAACTAGCGACGCTTCTTCTTTTCGCATTACAATCACTTGCGACTCCACGCGATCAAAATGCCAGGCTTCAGCTGTCAGTTGTCGCACCTGCCGGAAGCTGTCAAACATCGAAGGAACAACAATGCACATGCACGCTGATATCCGCCGAACAGTCTTCGCCAAAAACGTCGGACTAGTGCGCTCCTCGTACGATAAGCAAACGCAGAGAACAATGGGGACGTCGCATGCATAGCCTTGCTGGCCATCATGCCTCGGTTGAGGATGTTGCCCCTTTCCGGAAGTCAGGCGCGCGCGGTACCCCATTCAACGACCTTCATCGCATAATACACGATGGATCATTCTTGCGTAGTCGCAAACATACTGAAAAGGAACAACAATAAACACCCACGCCGTCCAGTCGTCGTTGTGGTGTTGAACAGATTGTGCTGTGTCTACTCGTAGACAGCTCCGCCAAATTACTGGGTACCTGTGTCCGTCGGCAATTCCGCCGAGAGAAGGCGAACCCAGATCACTCCATGTCGCGTGCACGACCCGGAGATTTTCAGGACCAATTGGCTAGAAGAAAATACCAATCATGCATGGGGTTCGTGATGCCAAAATTAGATGACAATCGGTCTAAGATCGTTTTCTAGACGAAGCTGTCCTTAGCTCTTCGGTGAGAGTAACCGCAACCCCACACCATCCTACATCGTATCCTGAACGCGAACTTAGTCGCTGGAACGGGCACTATGGCAGCCTTTCCCGTATGCGCATTGATCATGCGCCGTTTAAGAAGCCCCGTACCGATACCCTTTAATAGCATTGCGCATTCTAGAGGCCTTATATACCGCTGCTCGGCACAACGGTTTTCACCATTATCATTCGACATTCGTTTAGTCCTTCGTTAGAACATCCAAACATATTAATTATGAGGAGACACCAATTAATCAGCCTCGCGCTGCTTGCGCCGAGTTGTCAAGCATACGTCTGGCCCAGCAAGTACGACCAGCTCGATGACCTACTGTATCTGCAATCTGGGTACATCAGGAATGGAGAACTCTCAGATCGTACGTACCCATACTCCCTATTTTATCCCTCCTGCAACTTACACAACAACAGAGGTCCAGACCTGCTCATTCGGCGCTCGCCAACCAGGCATCCAAAAGGCCGCAGAATGGGTGCGAACGAACTTCCACGACGCCGTCACCCACGATGCCTCAACTGGGATCGGAGGCTTGGACGCCTCGATTCAATACGAACTCGATAGAACAGAGAATCTTGGTGCCGCGTTGAACAACACCTTATCCGATATGGCCAGTTCAGTCAACATCCGAAGCTCCGCAGCCGACGTTTTGGCCTTGTCATTGGTCATGTCTGTGGCTCGTTGCGCTGACATGCGCGTGCCTCTACGACTGGGCCGCAAGGACGCGGCAGAGGCTGGTATCAAAGGCGTACCGGAAGCGCACACCGACCTCGACACTACAAGGAAGAGATTTGAAACTGCCAGTTTGACAGAGAAGGAGATGATCACTTTGATTGCTTGTGGTCACAGCATCGGTGGTGTTCACTCAGTCGATCACCCGGAGATCGTCTCCGGTCCCGTTGCCGCCGAGAACAAGGCGACTTTCGATACAACCAGCGGAGAGATGGACAACGCTGTGGTAACGGAGTACCTCAACAACTCGACAGCGAACCCATTGGTCGTCAACGCCAACAACACGTTGAACTCCGACAAGCGCATCTTCCTTGCCGACGACAACGCGACTATGCGCAAGCTTGCAGACAAGGCCTACTTCAAGTCGCAGTGTGAAGCTGCATTCGAGAAACTTATCCACCTCGTGCCAGGAGATGTCACACTAACGGAGCCCATGGAGCCAGCCGATATCCGTCCTTACATCACAACATACCAACTCAAGGACGGAGCAGTCGAGTTAACAGGACGTCTTCGTGTCCGAACCACACCAGTCACCGGCCGCGACGGCAACACACTCACAGCTTCCCTCATCCCAGTCTCGCGCAACGGCAGCACGCCCGCCGAGATCGTCGCCAACCGCGCTACCTACAAGTTAGGAACGTCCTCTGGATACCTAGACGAAGTGTTCCAGTGGTTCGAATTCACCCAGACACTCAACGCCACCGATGCCTTCGACTCCTTCACCATCCGCGTCAACGACGAGACCTACGACAACGGCGGCACAGGCAGCTACCCCATCAACCCCGACGTCCTCTACCAAGAAGCGCAATCATGCACAGCCAAGGACACCACAACAGGCGAATGGAAGATGACCATCACCGCAGCCGTTTCCAAGGCCCTCCTCCAAACCGGTGCTACACCACAGCTCAACGTCTCGAAGAAGACCAAGGTCCAGGGCCTTGTTATTCCTCGTCTTACACCAACGATTGTCGAGATGAGCCCCGCGGGCAAGGAGACTGCGGAGTATGTGTATTACACTGCGACGACGGTTCTGAGTGAGAGGGGCCTTGATCCTACGTTTGATATTGAGGTTGGGGAGAGCAAGGTGGAGTTTATTAATGCGAATGCGCTTACGCAGCAGGAGTGTGCGGCTTTGTAGATACCCAGTAGTTAACGAACGTTTATACCATTTCACAGCTCGATCATTTAAACTGTCTTCACCTGATATCATGACCATAATCAGCAATGCGTGTCTCGTGCTGTGGAGAGGTTTAGCGCGCGATCACGGTGCTCAGTCGCATGCAATATAACACCAAACATCCTGCACTTGCCAGTATTTCGGGTGCACGATTTTCTTGAACATCTATGAGACCAAGCCGAGCTCTAAGTCTTCCCCGTCATCTACTAATACATCATCCCCACCGCCCACACCAGGAACGCCAAACCATGCAACCCAACCCTACAACTTCGAAGACAGCTTCCCGCTCTTTTGCGCCGTGTACGTGGCGATGAGATCCATCAACGCTGGGCTAAGCACATCATATGTCTGCAGACCCTCCTTCCTGAACTTCTCTCGCACGGCGTCCATCTCCTTTGGGTTGAAACCCTGCTCGATGATGCTGCTGACGAAGGCGGCGAACTGCGGCTCCTGCCATCCCTTCTTGTCACTGAGTTCAACGTGGACGAAGTCAAGGCCCTTGAATGGATGGTCGACGACGATGCGACCGAAGAGGTGGACGCCGCATTGCTTGCAGGCATTGCGCTGGATGGCCGCTGATTCGTCGATGATGTGCAGCTTGTCGCCGTTGGCAGTCACGGAGACGTTGTCTTTAGAGATAACGCCAACAACGGAGAAGAGCGCGCCCTTTGGCTTCCAGCATTTCGAGCAGCCGCAGGCGTGGTTGTGCGCGACGTTGCCAGCGAGGGTAACTTCGACCTTCTTGGTGGGGCAATGGCAGTAGAGCTTGCCGCCGGAGAAGTTGGGGTCGCCCTTCTTGATACCGTTGTCGATGGCGGGATGGATGGACGGCATTATGAACACTAATTTATCGATGATTTACTTGGAATAAGAGGTGGTTGTTTGAGGTTATCTGGAGGGTGACAAAGTCGCAGATACTCAGGTACCTAGGCGCACACTATATACGGGTCTGCGTTCCACATCGAGACTATCACCCCCTCACGGGACTGCGCAACCGATCAAGAAAGAACCGCCCTAATATGTGGTGCGACCGCACGCAATACTGATGGTATTGTGGACTTGAGGTGCGGAGCCGCATAACGTTGCCGCTTTAGGTCACTCGGCCCTTCCCCGCCTCGCGCTGGAGATTGCCGCGATACAGCTGCCTGCCCTTTGGAGGCGATGCAAATGTTCCTATTCACTGCATTTCGCAAACATGAAGAGACGATCTGTCACTGCAGCTTCGAGATGAGACCGACGCTTCGATGAGCATTGCATTCGGTGGTGGTGTTGCACGTGCGAAGTAGAGGATGCCTCGTATCGGCGCCCGGCAAGACCCTGACTATGTTCGCAGAGGGAAAACAGTAGCCAAGAGCGGTAGTCCGCCAAAAGAGCACATCCAAAAACACCACAGCTTGTACATCTGTCGATCCAACCCTCCATCCTGTATACCGACTGCTCGCATAGTCGTACCCACCAAAAGCCCACCAAGACAGACCGAAACTACCGCCGCCTCTCAGCGAGTACCCAAGAAGACTAGCGGTGCATAAAATGTCCAGAAAACGACGGCCACCACAACAGACCACAGCGCACGTCTTCTACCCAACTCAATTGGGATGGTACGCCGGCCACGGGCTCGATCGCCGGCTTCGTCGCGAAAGTCTTGGGCATGAATCGTTGTGCCGATGATACCAAGTGTGACCAGAAAGATCCATTGCCATGCTGCGTAGCTCATCGTAGTATCCGGGCCGAGGGCAATGCTCAGGGCGCCGCTGAAAGGGCAGATGAGGCCAAGAGCACAGATGGCATTGCGCGAGATGCCGCTGTAGTCGCTTCCGCCCATATCGTGGTACAAGGTGTTGAAGACAACCCATGCGACGTAGATTAGCACTACGTTGAACTGGTAACTGACAAGTGCAAGTGCCAGGTACGCAGCAATCATCAGGATTGTAGTCTGCGCTGTGTTGATCCTTCCTGTTGGGATTGGACGCCAGGGCTTGTTGATTGTGTCTTCTTGGAGCGAGGATTCATGACGCTGATTTTGCAGGCAGCATGGCAATAGCATCAGCCAAAGCCATGTCAACGTTGTTGGTACTCTTCGCAACACCGCGAGACCGTCTTGGGGTGGTAAATCCAAAGCTGGGCCGGATAGAGTGGCGAGCACGCCGAAAACTGCGGGAGGGATGACCACGTCTTTGAGGTTGTCGCACGTGAAGAGGACTAATGTGTGGGCATGGTACAGGATCTTCTTTGCGGCCGTCGATGAGTTTGCGACGAATTTGGATGTGGGATGATTGTCGATAGGCGTAGAGACATCTTTGCTCTCACCCATGTCTGACGACGTCCACTCCATGACAGACATGGTGTACACAGACTGAGTGGTACAAAGAAGTCGATGTTTGGAGTTCACCGAGGATGAGTTGCTGTGTATATGCCCTTGATAGCTTCCTTGTCCGTCTCTTATAGCACATCCGAGGGAACGCTGGCATATCTTATCACCCCAGGCCTGGATACAGCGTGCTATGCTCTCGCATGCCAAAATCAATACTGCTCATGCGTCCCACGTTTAGCGGAAAGATGAACGAGTGGTACGGTATCATTGGTACTTTCCATCACATCCTGCTTACATGCTTTATCTTGCTGTAAGCCCTGCTGTTAATGTACATCACTCTCCCTTTCCAGTTTCGAACATTGTCGTCGCATACTTGTTGCACGGTAAACCGGCATCCGGCGACGAACTTGTGGGAATTAAAGCTTTACGAGTGGTTGCCCAGGTGTTCATGTTGCGTCCCTGTTACGCCCGGCAGAGTGCATATAGATAGCTAAGCGACGCTGTGTGCCTTATTTGAGATCAACCTTCGGCTAGCAGGTGTAAAGACTGGGTTCCTGGCCATCGTGGGCCTGAGCTATGTAGCGCAACCCTGCGAAGATAAGGTATCTAATGGAAGATGTTGATTCGCATCTCGATGTGTGTCGCTGGTGTATAAGACGCATGTACGCGACATGCGCGCTGTGGGCTTTGCTCGTGAACTAGATCGATCCTTTTACTTCATACATTGGGTACGGGCTTCTTGGTGTTCAAGTAGAGCTCTGCTTGCAGCAGTGAGACCAATCGATGGCCCTGTGTTCCGGTAGGTGATTAGTGATCCAGACAATCCTTGTTGATGCTGGTGTTCAGCTTGGTCGACAGACGCTCCGTACCGCCCGCCCTCATCAAAGGCGCTGTCTTGTGTACACCACACCTCGATGCATTCTGTTCGTCATCTCTGGTGAAAATTGTCTTGGCTCCTTGACAAGTAGCATCGTTACGGCAAGATGCTAGGGCCGTGAGCCCCTGATGTTCAGCGAGATGTTGGAAGCGGCTGTTGGCAATTCAGAGGTGAGCGAAATATCGCAAAACTCTCTCTAAATGCTCTCCCGTTAGCTATCTGGACACTGCTACCAGAGCGGTATGTGCAATAGAGTTGCAGAGCCATAGTCCAGACGCGACAATGTGACTTGCTCATGCCGCGGAAGAATGCATCCGCGAAGGTAAGGAGTGCTAGCATAGTGCCGCGGCGTGCGCGCAAAGCCCCGACCCGTGACCTGCCATATGTGCTTCGCCGTTTTACCCTGTCGATAAGGATGCTTGTTTTACAGTCCAGTACCTTGCGGGCGCGTCGCAAAGAACGATGTTTTGATTGAGTCCTGAAGGGGGAAAACTGCAATGATGCGCGCGAGGACGGGGCCACCTTGGCAAAGCGGCACGGGCCTCAGCCGACGCGCCCATCCGAGGTCGCACCTGCCGTGTCTGCTCCCTCGCCCCACACAACTCATCTCTACATCAATCGTTCATTCGACTTGCATGGCTCCTTATGGCTGCTCCATTGGAATTCCATTGCCATTATGCTTCGGAAGCGTACGACAAGTTCATCGCGCGGGAGGCACCAATGTATCTTCGTCATCTGTCGGGAGCTGCGAACGTGGCCAGCGGCTATCAAATTACCAGAGCCGGGGAAGGGATCCTTTCAGTAGGATCGAGACCTCATTCAACGCGTACTAATGCACCACCGGAAGCTCGCTTTGGAGCCCTTCGCCCAATGTTAGCACATGCGGACTTTTTGCCTACTCACTCGTGCATGAGCGTACATTTGCGGTCAAGTTTCCACTGTAAAAGGGCCAGCTAACCACGTCCTTGATCCCATCTCAGCCTTTCCACCTATCTCTCGACCATGAAACTCATCGCGGCGATAGCATGTGGCACCGTTGCCGCCACCGTGAGGGTGTCGGCTCGAAACACGTTCGAAGCACCTAATTTCAATGTGACCGAAGCGCTCATCCAGAATGGAGTCAACGTTTCCGCAATACCTGAATTGGCGGGCCTGGCCATGCGATCGTCTCCAAGCGCCTGCTCCATCGCAGTAAGTTTTGACACTGTGCCTCACTGCAGCATGAGCTAACATCCGCGATAGTGTGGCTCGCTCGAAGTCGTTTTCGGTAAAGAAAAGACTGTCCGTGGTCAGAATGCCGCATACTGGTCGAACCAACAAGCCGTCGTTGTGCCGTATTGCACCTTTACTCCCAATACCACTCTTGAGGTGTCATCCTTGGTATTGATATCTCGCCTTACCCAGTGCCCCTTTGCGGTAAAGAGTGGTGGGCATGCCGCGTTTCCAGGTGCTTCCAGTATCCATGGAGGTATTACGGTTGACTTGAAAGACTTCACCGTGCGCAAGCTGTCTGCGGACCAGAAGACTGTTGCTATTGGGCCAGGTAACCGCTGGGTAGATGCATACCGGTATCTCACACCGTACAACTTGACGATAGTCGGTGGCCGAGTACGTTCATTCCGGACGCCAAGCTACTCTTCATGAAGTGCGCTTACATCTTCTAGGCCGCACGCGTCGGTGTTGGTGGTCTGACTCTAGGTGGAGGCATCAGCGACTTGACAAACGAATACGGTCTTGCCTGCGACAATGTCGCGTCCTACGAAGTCGTTACCGCGTCCGGCGTTATCGTCAACGCGTCTCCGAGTCGCTATCCCGATCTATACTGGGCCTTACGCGGTGGTGGAAACAACTTCGGCATTGTCACAACCTTCCACTTTAAGACTATCGTGCAACCACCCATGTGGGGTGGCATGCGTATCCACGACCCCAGCACCACTCCCGCATTGATCACTGCTTTTGAGAACGCCATCAACAATGCCGAAGCAGATACGAAGCTCGCACACGTTGTGTCATTTACAACATACGATACTTACCAGCTCGCATTTACCGAACTCGAATACCTCCTCCCGGTCGACCTCTCGCACCCTCCCGAAATCGCTAGGGAGTATCTCAGCATTCCATTCATGCAAGACAAGACGAGTAACAGTACTCTCGAAGATCTAACGCCACACCGAAGCGACGATATGCCATCTGGTTTTCGCACCTCCATGTGCTCTGCGTCATTCAAAGTGAGTGCCGAGCTCATTCAAAAAATGACCGACAGATTCTTTGAGGTGGCACCTGGTCTGCCTGCCGTCTCCGTGAACATTGCATTCCAAGCGTTTTCCAAGCCAGCGCTACAAGCGATGCAAAAGAAAGGTGGTAACGCCCTCGGGTTGTACCCCGAGAACGGCCCGTTCTTTCATGTCTTGGTGTATATGGCGTGGAACGAGTCTAGCGACGACACAACGATGATGAAGGCTGCCCAGTCCTATATTGAGACGTCCAAGGGTATGGCTAGGGAGTTAGGTGTCGATAATGAGTACTACTACATGCCGTACAGCAGCGGTCATGAACCTGTGGTTTCTGGGTATGGAAAGGAGAACATGGCGAGACTAAGGGCTATATCGCACAGGTATGACCCGATGCAAGTTTTCCAGAACCTGCAACCAGGTTACTTCAAGCTTGACGGGAAAGCACCGCTTGGTGCGAGTCTTTGAACAGCGCGCATGAAGCGAGCTGACAATGCTCTATATGTCTGGGTTCTGCGGCGTTTGCACGTGTGTGGCTGAGGCCATTCGGGTAGCTAACAACGGTGAAGCCCCAACACCGGCAGAATACCTTCATTCCTTGCGAAGATATTACGATGTGCGCCTGCCCCTCTGCGCTGGATACAACTTCGACTGTCTGTGGGAATCTGATTTGAATGCAAATTGAAAGTTCCCTGGAGAACATGCGGACAGGCCCGCCTGCCCGCAGACTGTGCCGCAATACTAAGACAGCGCTAGTGGCGGAGCACAGTGCTTAGCTGTCTTAGCCTAAAATCTGTGTCTCTTCGTATTACTATTGCCAATTTAATACCTCCCCTCAGCTACCAAAATCGTCATCGCGAGGATGAGATTACAAGGCACTCAACGCATCGATGCAGAAGTGGTAGCTCTCTGTTTGGAGACCAGGAATACGATCCCCCAGCAAGCTGCTAGGTATACAACGGCACCCGAACGCATGGGATGTACGTTGTCTTACCTCCGAGAAGCAATGCATCCCGCTCAGTGACGACATAGGCTGTTCCAATGATACGAGTGAACGTCAGACCTGCGACATGTGAGAAGAACTGCAGGACAACGGGCAGTAGGAGAGATCTATCGACGTCTCCATTTGGTACCAATAGAAGACTGCAGATGAAGTACCATCATGCTGACTGCTTAAGGTCGTCACTGCAATGTCATAAAGTAAACACAACTCAGCCTAAATGAAGTACCATCATGTTGACTGTTGGGGTCGTCGCTGCAAAGCAACAAATTAAACACAATTTACTTTGAACGAAAAGGTGTTGTGTGGGGCTACCTGTGCGACTGACTTGTCGCTTCAACATAATAACATGACGGCAATTGTCACTCTGAAAGATGTATAAAGTTCTTCGTTCGCCGTTGAGCTTTGGTTTCCACCACAAAAGATCAGAATCACTCCGCACACCAAAAGCCTCGTTATCATACCCACATTACTCCAACCACAATCTGAAATCCCAAAGTTACGATGTTGTCCTTGTCCTGGATCGCATGCCTCACCGTTCTCCTCCCCTTGGCTACCGCCGCGTGCTGCAACGGTGACGACGACGTCCGATGTGCGGATGGCACTCGAAGTACACCATGCTGCGGATACGGAAAATGCAACATATTCTGCTGCGCCTGCAAAGGCGGCTGTCGTCACAGGAAACGGGACCTCCCCGAGGCATTCGACCTGGCTGATCGTTCGGACGCTACCACGACGGCTTTCATGGAAGCTGATACGGAAGGTACGGGCAGTATCACTCTGGACCGCTATCTGGAGTATATGGCGGTCAAGGGAGATAGTGAGGTGTGGGTTAAGTGGTTTAACGAGTAAGTGTTAATATTCTTCTTATTGCTATTGGATGTGGCGTTGACTTGACAAAGGCATGACGCGAACAACGATGGTGTCATTACTGTCGACGAAGCTGCTTAAGACCATCCGCCATAGAAAACACGGTTCTGGTCAAGGATCAGGGGGGCTTGCGGAAGGATGCTGTGGGGTAAGCAGGGGATGGCGTGACTAGGAGACGCTCAGGTATACGCACTCCAAAGAGAAGCGTCCAACACTCACTTAGACAACATACATTCATACACACAATACATTCGTTCTTGCATCGTCGAGTTGAAACGTAATCAAAGACCTGGAAATGCGCGTCTAAGGGGTTCTGCCCGTTCATAGTGAGGACGTCTTGTAGACATGCACTTATTGCAACTACAACATCTCTTAGCGCCTCTGACACAACATGGTGCTAGGTTGGGGTGCAGCATCACAGCTTGCCATCATGCCGGCTGAATGCTGGACGTTAGATGCAGGTATTAATTGATCTTGCATGCCCAGTGGTGTCCTCTACGCCGTTTGCAGCGCCGCAAGTGGGATTGTATGAGCTTCGCGCATCGCACGCCAGGGTCGTCTCACGTAGCCTATGTCGTCACTAAGCGCAGTCATCTTTCTGTTACATCAAGCGTGGCGCCTCTCACATGTCAGGCACAGCAGTAAGGAATCGTAGACGTTCGAATCCGCATGGTGATCGAACAAGGACGAAAAGCTTTCTGCCCCAAGGTAGCATCCGCACGTTACCAACATCCGGATCAACACCAACGACAGCTTCGCAATCTGTCCACATCAGCATTCAAGTCAACCGCGCACATCATTCCCATCATCAATGTCTTCGTCGTCATTCCACCTCTCTTGTCTCAACCCCCAACCCCCCCAGCCCCATCCTCATACCACCCACGCATTCCACCCCAGCGACCGCAACCCAATAAACCGACCCTAACCACGCGTACCTGGCGCCTCCGCATCTCAGGAACCGAACCCATGTCTGGCAGAAAACCCTGTTGCGATTGGCCCAGCAAAATGTTTGATGTCGAAACAGACATGGAGGCGGCGCAGCATGCGGCGCCTGAACGTCGGGGGGCTATTTTTGCAATCGACGGGAGGAAGGAAGGAAGCGATGGCGCGATGGGATGGGGGCCATAAGGCTGGCGCTGGCGCGGCGGCGGTACCTGAGACTAGGCGGCAATACGAGACTTGGCCCCCAGGGAGGTCGGGAGGTCTTGAGATGGTTGTCGCATTTGCCGTTTTGCGATGGGGAGATGGGCGCGTCGGTCTTACGCATTACAAATGCGTGTCGGAGGGCGCCGGCTTCGTGTGTTTGCTATCGATTTCTCATCAGCCGTAGGATCAGGTGCGATGGTGTTCTGACCGGTGGTCATGCATCGAAGTAGTGGCTTGACGCCTTGGACGGCTATCTGATGGCTCAGCCCTGTGAACGCGGTGCTGCGCCTCACCCACCACCACCACCCACCGAACGACAGCTATCCGCAACACGCGGACATGCGACAAACCACCACGCATCGACCACCGAACACCTACCTCGACGACCGCGCCATTGCCCAATCACTTTCACTTTTTCTGCCAGTACCTGCGACCAGCGTAGCCCTGTCCAACTCAGCGACGTACCCATCAATACTCGGCTACTGCCCCATAGCAGGCGAAGATTGACCACCAAAGTCCACAGTTGGGCAGGGCCGCTATGACTCCTCGGGGGCAGGACCCCAGCAAGCGAGGTCGACACGTTGACATTTGCACCGGACTACATTAGAAAATACTAAAGTATTGGACTGTGGGGAAGCATATCGGATCGGGTGGTTGGGATGAGGTTGGGTTCGGACGAGGGAGAATATTGGCGCTGGCGGCTGTTCTGTGTGAGTCGACACGAACACGGGAATCCAGCTAGACACGTTGGCCAGCAAGACCAGCCTCGCCGGATGGGCAAAGGGCAGCTCCTGGTAAATGCGGGGGAGCTGGTGAGCTGGCAATACAGCTTGCGCACTGCTTTTGTCCTGAAACACTGACACGGGCAGCTCCGTCGATGCAGGAGAGTGATGATATGGTTGATTCGAGACCGGCGTGCTGTGGGTTTCGTGCAGGTACTCGTTCTGGTTGACCGGTGAGGCTGCAATGCATGCGCGCTGCACCTACTACGACGAAGACTAGAGGGTTAGCTGCATATTGACCGGTGACAATGGAGTCGCGGCCTGCTCCACTGGAGAATAAGAATATGCATATCATATGCAATCGACAATTATCCATGATGGAGTCGCGCATTCGTTGAACTGTCGTTGTTGTGCTCGTCTGGCCAGTTACGAGCTCATCCTGATTATAGACAAGGTGGGGCTGGGGGCTGGCTCGAGTGCGGCTTACCGGCATCACCCACGGTCTCTGGGGATGCGCAGTCGGGAACGTCCTTGATCAGAACAGATAGCTGCCGCGATATTGGGACAGTTGTCAATGCGCGATAAAGATGGAGAAGTGTTCTGGATTGTAGATGTCGCTATCAGGTCTGGCTAGTATGAGGGGTTGGCGGGGCCTTTTGGGCTGGACAGTGCGAAGTGCAGCTCATCAATTCCCATCTCTCCTGAGGTTTGCAGTCTACTCTTTCCACCATCGCTCGATGACAAACGTGTGCTGACGACATGTGACGTCCGATATTGGTAACTCGGTCGTTCTGCGGCGGACGCGCAATAACGTTCGTACATTCTCGTTCGATCTTCGTGTCGCGGGAAGAAGCGAGACAGTTGCTATTATCGTGAGGCTCCTACTATTGAGATCCTTCGAATTGTGGCAATATCGCCGTTGGATTCAGGGTTGTATTTTTGGTAGTGGCGAGAATTTCCATTGAGTTCTGGTTGTGGCAGACGGCGCTGAAGATCGAGCACAGCCGGCGAGGCCGCTGCCTATCTGCCGGCTGCCGTTCAGCGCAAGTACCCCGCAACACCACATTCCATCGCTACCAGCCATCCAGGCCACTCTTAGTAATCTCCTACCAAGGTAACCATCACAGTAGACGTATTCTCGAACAGCACCGATCACGGTACCTCCGCGACCTGCCCCCAACTTGGCAGACCCTTGACTCCCATCGTCCCGTGTGAGATTCCAAGATTCCTGCCTGGACCCTGACGTCTGCCATCATTTGCCCCGCATCGCAACCTTGGAATCCTCCCTGACGAAGATCAGAATTCTGCCGTCGTGAACCTTGACGATAAGACGTCATGGGCAAACGACCCCCAGCATCCCGACTGTCATCAGAAACATCCGACCAGGGCCCCAGTCCAGCTGACGATGATGTCGTCCTGGTTTCACTCCGGGGCTGAGGTCATGTATGTCAGAAAGTGGCTTTGTGGCTCAGTATTGCACTTTGAATTCAACCGAGACGGAATGACATCTTTGCGCAACCACGGAATAACACTAGCAGTTGCGCAAATGCAAGTCTCACTTTGACACTCCAGGAGGGTGTATCGAAACCCACTTACCTCGCCGGGGCGATAAGGAGGGTAGCTTGCGACGCCAGGCAGACATCAGGGTCCATTCGCACACACGCGCGGAAATCTTGGTTAGAGAGGGTGTTCACGCACTCGTATCCGGCGCCGGCGATCAATATATTCCTGGCCACATGATGCGTAACTTGGCTAGAAGATAAGACAAGGTGTTGCTGGCTGCCCTGGGGTCTGATTGGTCGTGTCTCAGGCGTAACAAAGGGAAGAGCCAGAGGGGAGCAGCCGAGGTGTGTGTCTTGTAGGAGTCATTGTTGGTTCGAGAGGTCTTGTGTGTGACTGTTTCAGAGTAGCGTGGTTCAGTGGGATTCTGTGTGTGTGGAGCAAGACTTGCGCTATCGGAGCGCATCTTGTAGTTGTCTGTCGCAAAGGTATTCTAGACTGTTGTAGAAATGATGTTAGTATTATTCTTGGGTAATGGGGCAAAGTCACTTCATGATGGCACAGTGATGTTGAGTGATGAGGAGATGTCTCCATTATTAGCTATCTAGCCAGACCCTCTAGTCTCAGTCCATTAACGTCATTCCTAGTTTCCTCCGCATCATCCAGGGTCCATTACCCTGGAGCGCATCATCCAGGGTCCATTACCCTGGAGCGCATCATCCATTCCCTCCTCAAACACCGCAAAGGTGGAGGCATGCAACTGTGATCCTTTGCAGGTATCATTCCACCGTCGTTCCTCCAGCACCCGATAGCATGTATAAGCAACGCATAAGCAAGGCGTGCGATGAAGCATGTATGAACGTGTGTTTGGCGGTGGCGCGCACCGGCGCGGAGCTTTTGCAGCGTCCGCCCGCGGATGTCGTCGTGGTGGGATCGGAGCGATTGACCGCGCGGCCGCTAGGCCTCGTAGCCGTAGATGGTATTGTGGGTATCGTATTACTCAATAAGTCGTAGTTCGTAAGGCGCAAAGAAAGTCTTCAAGTCATCATTCATCGGTAGTAGCCAGACGACCGGTGCTCGCGGATGTCGCGTGATGATGGCTCGCGGACCTCGACAGCGTAGTGCTTAGCAGCCCGGCGCTGCTTAGCCACTTCCTCCTCGTAGAGCGACCCGCGCTTGGAGTTGGGAGTGTTGCTGATCTCGGCGAGTGGACGCTTCGGCCGGCTGGTGGAGTGCTGTGGCCAGTCGACGATTTCGCTGTTGCGTCGTGATGATGACTTCTTGGTCTTTGGCTCTTGCTCAACCTTGACGGAGTGGCTTCGTCGGGGAGAGGCGGGTGCTGTGCGGGGGGCAACGTAGTAGCTGCGGTCCATGGAGACGAATGGCTTGCGGGATCGGTGACGGATGCTGCGCTCAATGGCCTTGAGGAGGCTGCAGACCTCGATGTAGCCGGCGGGGATCTCTACACGGACGAGCTTGTTGTCTTCCTCGACAGTTGAGTAGGTGGCTCCATCGGACTTCTGGTAGATGTAGCGAGCGACCTGTTGAGCGAGACTGTGGCCGACGTCGCAGAGCTGCTCGTGGTTGCGGTGGACTTCGTAGGGGTTGTGGCAGTAAGCACACTTCCTGGCGTGCATCTCGAAGTGGTAGGCGGCCCAGCTCTCAGCGGTGTTGACGGGGCGGGAGAAAGAGTCGACTGGGTCCTCGTAGAAGCCGACCACGCGCTCCTTCTTGGCCGTGGAAGGCCGCGAGTGAACGATGGTAGGCTGGTTTGTGCGTGCGGAAGGCATCTTGGGCGATGAAGGGGGTGAGTTCTTCAGGATGGACTTGGGGTAAGCCGTTGTGACGTTGTTGCCAAGGTACGGAATGGTAGCGAAGTCACTCCCGGGTGGGAGGGTGATATTGGTGTGGTGTTGTTGAGCGTTGGTTGACTTTGGTCGTTATGGGATGGCGAAGACTGGTTGTTATGTAGATAGCAGGTCGTCGTCGTCTGAAGTGAGTTGGTATGAATGGAGGGGCCATGGTGGGTGCGGGTGCCATGGAATATATGTCTTGTCTCTGTACAGAGGCCGCATGCCCAGGGTGTGGGTGGAAGCCTGAGCTAGGCCAGGGTTGCCTGCGCCCATCAGCAGGGCTAGGTTAGCTGCTCCTAGTGCCCAGACTGGGGGGGCCATGGCCGGCTAGCGAGGGCGGTGACTTGAAATGTTCCTCTCGATCCGTGCATGACGACGATGTCTTGGGAACCGCCGCTAGACGCATGTTTCGTCAGTCAGAGGGCCGCCAACGGCCGCTGCTCGAGGGCGCTGTCATTGGCGATTGTGAGCTGTCGCTGCGCGCACTGCTGTCGGAGAATGGGTCCAGCAGTGCCAGCACCCGCCGCACCGACTCCTGGCGCCCGTCAACGTGTCCAGTCGGGCAGAGAGAACACCTATGCTGTCTCTCCAACGAGGTCGGCCGCTTCCGTAGATGGGGTCTGATTATTCGACGCTGCGCCTCATGTCGCTGGCCGCGTTCGCAGGGTGTTGAGGGGTGGGCGGGTGGTCGCTGCCTGTTTCTCGAGGCATCAGCCACGCCCAATCCGGCCTAGACTTGTTTTCTCCCCACCATCGATTTCTCATTTGCGCAGCACTCCCACAATCTCACCGCTACACAGGTTCGCGCATAGCCACAACTTCCCGCATCCCATCTGTCAACTAATGCACAGCACAGAGTGGCTGTTGAAGCCCTTGTGCGACTGTGCGAATCGCTGCAAAATTGCACTTTGCGTGGCTGGCATGCTACAGACCGGCGGCTGCAACCACGACAAGACCCACAACACCTCATCTAGGGCTGTGCTAAAGGGTCTACGCCCTTCAATGTGCGCCAGTCGAGGGCGCCGAACATGCAAATTGTTTGCGTGTCTGCGAAAGACTCATCAGACACCCTGTTACTCGACGCTTGCCGAACAACGTGCATAGCGCTACGCACCCACCGATGTATTAGCCCTTCTCATTCTGGTTGACCGGAGTTTGACACCTCGTCATTCGTCAATTGGGCTCTCTGGTGACTCTTTTCACTATCGGCGCGTTGGTACAGCAGTTCGCACCCGCCCCACCGAGCTGAGCAGGCCCTGGCTACCAATGTATCCTTTGGTATACAGCGCAAGTGTTTCATCGCGAGAAACACGTGGACAGGCCCCTGAGAAGTCAAGTTTCACACCTGGCTGTCGCTCAATTTTGCTAATGGTGAGTCAAATGTGCCCCGTTTGGCACTTCTCGGTGTCTCTCTTGGCGCTTTCCTATGACTCCGACTGCGACTCGACAGTCGGCTCGCCCCGTATGTCGGAGCAAGCCATCAAACTGCCAGTCCCGCTTGTAGGCATCTTCTAGTGGCACATGATCAAGTCACTGGCCTTGGCCGGAGATTTAATGGCTTCTAGCGCCATGTCGCTCATCATGATAGCCGCAAACACCGGTTCGTCGGCTCTGCACCGCCACACAATGCCGCTAGTTACACGATAGAAACTCCAGTCGTCATGCTCCCATCTCGTAAGCTCTTCCATCCCATACCAAGACCCGCTCCCAAGGCTACGATGCATGGCGACCAGAAACCACTAGCATCCGATATCCAGAAATACGCCATACCATGGCGCCACAGAGGCGTCTTACGAAGCCTAGGAATTACGGCATCTTTGTCTCCACATGTCGTACTTCGGAGGTTGGAACGCTCCGTCGCTCCTTGTGAACTGTCTCAGTTGCCTTACGAGAATCAAGCTTCGATGCGCACGTCGCCGGAACATCCTTCCACTGCTTCATTCTCCTAACATGCCCAAGCATCTTCCGCTATTTGTGATCAGCTGATACGAGTAGGTCTGCCGTGGTCTGGATCAAGCCCTCGGTGAATTTGCGTTACCAGAGACTAGGCAACAAGTCGCCGTCATAGCTGAGGTTGAGGTACCAGGCGATGGATATCGTCGGAACGCTGGCGTGCCCAATAATCCAGTCGGCTGGCGTGACCTCTCGCTCCCTAATGCTCTTAAAAGATGGCCTTGACATGTGTCTTCGCATCCAACGTACCTCGTGACATTAGCAAGTGTATATACGCTAGCATCTCAGAGTCTGGAGCCGCATGCAGTACTGGTTCAACTGGTTAATAACACCGTCTAGCCGCATTTGAACTGACAAGTGCAGGAGGGTCCAGATAAGATTGTGGGACCACGCGAAGCGGGTCAGTCACGTGCGCACCCTTTCATCCGCGCGACTTCACGTACCACTTGAGTTTCGCACATGGCGCTTACTAAATCGACTGGACACTGGCGATAGAGGCGATCAATCCGGCAATACTTCGCGATTCTCTTATCTTGTCCAGATTTGAAGCTGACTTGTTCCCGTAGTAAGCGGCAATGCTTACCAAGTTCACCGGTTGCTGGGCCTTTCATCAGCACAAACCTGTTCTCGAGAACAACGAACACGGTGAACGGCAGCTCCAGGTCAGCTGAAATTGACTTCGCGACATGCGGGCGTTGTGACGATCTCCAGGCAGACCAGTAGTGTCAAGCTGGAAATAGGGGTCCTCAATCGCCATCGCGTCCGGCATCACCCTTGCGTTTGGCAAAAGCAACTACTGTCGCGCCAGCGTTGATTGTAGATGAACAGCGAACACTCAATACCTGATCAGCTTGTTGCTGACATGTACACGCAAAGCTTCCACGGGGACCGTCAGCCGCTGACTACCCCACAACCTGGCGGTCTCGCCGTTTCCGTTAATGGGGATGTGCATCGAGCTGCTTGCTTTTCAAACTCAATCGCGCTCCAGACAGTCGGAGATTTCTTTTGCAGATCCCGCGATGATCGGAACTCAGTCGCGCAACGTGAACTACAACCACCATTTGCAAGCCTCAGCGCACTGCAACAACCACACAATGCACAGAAGATGCAAGAGAAGACCTCCATCTCCAAGATGATACGGTGAATTGATACCCAAGGCTGAGACACATGACCGCGCGTTTCAGCGGAACGGTAAGCCTTAGCCTGTTCCTGGGCTAGTTTGCGATCTGTGCTTCCACACCTCACACCGCTTTTCAGCGAAACTTTGCAGGAGCGCAGCGACCGCATTTTTGCTTGAAATACCAGACATCCCTTCTATTCTCCTAATTCTTTCTTTTCTAGAACACCTTGCCCTTGACCTGTTGCTTGAAAGGAAAACGACGTTGCGAAACAGAAAGAGAAGGAGAAATGCCACCCCGAAGCGTGTGTTTGAATGTGTTTACGTCCAGTCTTGGCGATGGCAATGGAGCGGTGAACACTGGTCGACATTCCATAATGGACAGGAGGGATAGCGCGCAGAGTGGTATGTTGGAGTTCTTTTCGAAGTTGCAACTGTGCACTTTGAAATCGCTATTGCGATGCATACTAACTTTGCAAACCAGACATTCCGAGACGGTCCTCTGACGGCTCTGTCGCATCGCAAGCCACACCACCAGCGACGACCTCACCACTCCCTGCTTTCAACCGACCCGAACTCTTCCATTCCCTGCGTCCGATGGCCAGCACGGAAAGTCTGAACGGCGCATTCAACAGCAAACGTAAGTTTGGACTCCTATCTCCAGCTCCCATGTGGCGCGATGCAGGAACCCGATTTGATTCGCTGGGCTGCATTAGTGCGCATGTGGCGCTCCACTTTATCCCACAATTATCGCCGGCCGCCTTACTGGCCTGGCACTACAACACCACTTCACATGATGTCAACCTTCATGTTGCTAGGAATTTGATTGACGCTAACATGCAAACAGCTTGCACAACATGCTCCGGCGAACCCGCACGCCGCCGCTGCTCCCGCTGCAAGGCTGCCTACTACTGCGACCGCAACTGCCAAAAGTCCGACTGGAAGACCCACCGCAACGTCTGCGAACCCATTACCCAGACTTACTCCGCGCCTGCCACACCCAACTTCTCCAACCCCACCAGCCCCACGAACGAGTCTTGAAGATGCGACGACTACCACGCCGCGGACGTAATGAACGCTGGAGGAGTCAATAGAGCAGAGGCGCTGCGAAATGGAACGACGAACGGATGTGATATCAACAGCAATCACCTGCTACGAACTAATGATACGAATCGACTGGACTTGGGAAAACTGGATCGCGGCGTTATTCTTGTTACTTGTTGTTGTTTGATTGATGAGGGTGTTTTTGGGTGTTATTACATTTAGAAAGAGCGAAAGCATTCAGTTGCACTGCATAGCGAAACTAGCGAAATCATACTCATTCTTAGCTTTTTGGAAGATGGGACTTTTTTGCGATGCTTGTGATGAATGTAATGGGATGCGCAATGCGTTTGGGATAGGTTCTTTCTCACGAAGCCTTCTTACTTTCGGCCTACGCGCTGGTATAGTTGCAAAGCAGTCTGGGCTTCTTCTGCTTACTGCGACATTTTACGATGCAGCACAAGATTCCATCCTTTCGGCGCAATTGTTGTGTATCTGACTCGCTGTCAGATATACACGCTCACCGCTCCTGTCCACGGAGTAACCAAGTCGGACCTACGTGGCACATTCCTCCGCGCACTGTTCATGCAGCACCGCTGTTGCGACAGATGGTGTATTCATGTTCTGATCTGCTATGTAGCTGGAGAGACGATCGGACTAGATGAAATCGAGTGTATTGTCTAGATTACTACTTAAGAAAACTTAGGATTAAATCCCTACGATATCCCTGAGCGATGAGTAATTACGTAGCCACAATTAACTGATTGAAGCTATAATCCATGCTATCCAACTTCGACAGTAGCCGACTACCTAGCCTCCCAATGTC